GTGTGTGTGTGTGTGTGTGTGTGTGTGTGTGTGTGTGTGTGTGTGTGTGTGTGTGTGTGTGTGTGTCTATAGCTATATTATAGCCATAGGCCTATTATAGCTATACCGATGTATTCTCATTTGCCGTTTAAGACAGAGAAGTAACAACTATTTTCTGATGATAATATCAGCTGCAGGGTATATATGCCTGATGCATGGCCACAGCAGCAGGTTAGCCTGGACACACTCTGAAACTCTTATGTCGCTATTCGACATATAACTGCTCTGTTCATGTGCATTACTTAATTACTAGTTAACCTAAAATGGCTTCTCATGTGTCGTGTAGCAATGCACCTGGCACGCACCTATTCGATACACATGCCTAACACGTGCTTAAACGTGTGTCTTTTTCTATTTCACATGTCAATTCGAATTACGTGAAATAGATACACACGCGTATATATGAGAAACTCACCAATATGGGACGTACCATGATATTTCCATAGCCACATATAGAACCAACCCAGCTTGTCTCCTGCCAGCTTTCATAGAACGGATGAAACGCAAGAATCGAGCCATTTCTGGCGCTTCTGTTGTTTTTCATTAACATTTCTACTTTGATATCTACCTAGCTTAGTTTGTCATAATTAATTCAGGTACGACCTCCTGTAATTCGGAAAACGTCAATCAATATTAGACTGACCCCCGTACTCGTAGCTGTAACATACCGGCTGTCAACAGCTGCTCGGACGCCAAAATCAATCTAACCAAGTCTCGAATTCATAGTATGAGAAATTGAAGAACAAAAATTGCTCGGATAAGATGAGCGGTGAACACCACCCCCGTATTGCAGACGTCAGAACCGTGTAATTCTAAGCCGCACATGACAGGCCCATCACGCGGTTTTTTTTTTCTAACGAGCTCACCGCCCCAGCTAAATAAAGCGCTAATTCAACAAGCTGAGGCACCTAATTAAACGAGCAACGATTACGCATTTAAAGTGGATAAACCTCGCAACAAAAAGCCTACATACACCTACTGTAAGCATACTTGCAGTATGCAAACATCACGAAATATTCTTATTGAGCAAGAAATGTGCTCCGAACTAGAGGATTTTCAAAACCGCAGAGTTTCGGCGTATAGATACACATAAATTATGTTAAGCGAAGGGGATACGCTAGCGCAAATAGTTCCTGGAAAGAACGCGCTATATTTGTTTGCTGATTGCATAAGTAATGTGGATAACATACGATTTAAACAAATTTCACATTTTTGTACTGAACAAACATGGAATAATGAATTATAACATGTTTTATCATAGTAAAGAACTGTTGTTAGTGTTAACGATCGCTCGGCTGTGTCCTGCGGATGTGTAAACATCACTGTGGTGCCACTTTCGTAAGACAAGTACTCTCGTTTAGATTTTGTGAAGAAATGTTATGAAAGTAGCAATACAACTGAGTTAGTAAATATGTAGTGAATTTTTGCAAGATAGACGAGCTCACAGTAGGTATATATCTATGCATTTTGCTGCGAGAACATGCCGTTTTAATGATCCTTCCTCGGGACCAGGGTAGCTGGCGCGCACTATTCACGCATATTCACGTAGAGTTTTCTCTCTCCGTCGCGTGTCGTATCGAGCGGACGAGTTCGTGTAATAACGTAATTGCTTCGGCGGCGAAGAACGAAGAAACGCAGCACGCGGGGAACCAGTGAGGACGGCACGCACTCGCACGCAAGAGCCACCCCTGCAGGCTTAAAACTTTCTTTGGTGTGTGTGTGGGAGGAGGGAGATGCAGCTAGCTGCAACAGCTGTCCAATCTGGATTTTAATAAAGAATTGCCATAACGTATGAGCGGCAAGCGAGCTGCCCACCAACCGCTTCTGACAATTATTAGAAATTAAGCATGATGAATATTCATTAGACGTGTGATAAATAATGAGACAAAAATGACGTAATTAGCCTCATTATAGCCTATTCTTAGCTTGGGCTATATCTCAAAACCATGAGAAAATGCTCCCTTGTAACTACTAAGGTATATCTCCCTCTCCCCGTCTGTTTTCTCCTTCTACACCTCTCCCTCTCTACTGTCTCCGCCTCTCGCTCTCCCGCTTTCTCTCTCCGTCTCTCGCTTTCTCGCTTTATCTCTCCGTCTCTCGCGCTCGCACTTTCTCTTTCTCCGTATCTCGCTCTCCCGCTTTCTCTCTCCGTCTCTCGCGCTCGCACTTTCTCTTTCTCCGTATCTCGCTCTCCCGCTTTCTCTCTCCGTCTCTCGCGCTCGCACTTTCTCTTTCTCCGTATCTCGCTCTCCCGCT